AGGGGTGGGGCCACGGTCAGCCCTCCCCTCCCCCTCAGCCTGCTGTAGGGGTCCCTGGGAACTTCTACTGCCTTCCGGGGCTGCGCTGTCTTCAACCTACAGGGGAAAGCTCCCTTAGAAATTCATCTGAGACTCGCAGATTCAGGGGACAGACTGACAGCTGTCAGAGGGGAGCGGGGTTGGGAGTCTGCATGGAAAAGGGAGGGAAGGGACTGAGCAAAACCCAAACTCACGGACGCAGACAGCAGAGTGTTGATGCCCAGAGGGAGAGGGGGTGGCGGAGGGGGAGGAGGGGTGAGGGGGGATACGTGGTGAGGGAAGGAGACAGGACTTGGGGAGGTGAACACATAGTACAGTGGAAAGATGATGCATCATAGAATTGAATGCCTGGAACCTATGCAATTTTTTTTAATGTTCACCTGAGAATATGTTCATTAATTAGAGAGAGAGAGAGAGACAGAGACATCAATGCGAGAGAGAAACATTGATTGGTTGCCTTCTGGACACTCCCTGATCAGGGATGAAACCTACGACCTTGGTGTGTGCCCTGACCAGGCTAAACTAATTTTGATTGGATTGGATTTGAATTGAATTCATTGGGGGTTGGGGTGACATTGGCTACTGCAATTATCTAGGTTTCAGCCCTGGCCAGGTGGCTCTGTCGGTCGGAGCATCGTCCCGTCCACTGAGGGTTGCGGGTTTGACCCGCCTGTAGGAGAATGAGGAGACCCGTACAGTCAGGCGTGACAAGGAAGAAGCACACGCTACACACCAGTGTACACTGTCAGTGTGTGCTATTTGTGCAAGGGTTAACAATCTGACACCAGGTGGGGGGCGTGTCCAGGTAAGGCGGGGTCCTGGAGTACCTGGCCTCGGGAACTGGGGAATTGGGAATCGGGGGAAGGAGTCTGGAAGCAATTATTTTTACATCTTTATCAGGAGGGAACGGGCTCTGCCTTCCGTAGCCATCGATCTCTCTACCTGGACCGGTGGGAAAGCCCAGGCGGCTGGACCCTTGGCGGGCCTCAGGTCAGACTGTCCTGTGCTGGGAACCCCCACATGCGCAAGACCCCAGCGGTGTGGATGACAGCGCTGATACTGTCCCCTCCCAGGTCCTTGCAGGGGCTTTGGCCACTCCTGTGCACAGGGACCCATCACCCCCAGCCTCAGACAGCTGTGTCCAGACTCAGCGTGTAGGAGCAGCTTTTCCAAACAAACCGCATCTCCACCCTCTCGGTCGAAACCGACAGGAGAGGGGCATCAGCACGTGTTCATTGTAAGAGCTTCCTTCCATACCATTTCTGCATAACGGTCAGTTTGCCCAGGGGAGAGAGCCCTACCAGAGGCAGCTCGGACATTAAGATCTGCATTTGGCTAATGATGATGGCAGTCTGGCCTCATTTATCTCGGTTTTCTGCTTTGCTTGAGCCATATCGAGAAATCACTGAGTCACACAGGTAAGCCATTGCTAATAGTAACAGGTTTTTACCTCGTTTTGGTTTTGTTTTTTTTTTACCCATTTGTCTTCCAGTCTCAAGGGTCTCTTCAATTAAATTGACCCAATGGTGTGCAGGAAGAGCTGGGAGGAATTTTTTTTCTTCCTCCCAGAATTGAATCACGGATCTGACCAATGCCGGCGGTCCTCGTTACAGACCCAGAAACCAGACGGGAAGAACCCAGGCAGGAAGCAGGCAGAGCTGTGCGTCTCCCGGGCCGAGCACGCCTCCCACCTCGGGTTTCCGCGGTGCAGCGGCGGGACGCGTGCTGAGCCGGGTGCAGGGTCTGCGCTGGAATCGTCCGCGGGAGTGTGCGTTTTCCAAAGGAGCCGTGCGAATCTGGGATCCCACGGGGTGGCTCCCTTGCCGGAGGTGCAAATATACGCCCATTCAGGGCAAGAGGAGTTAGAGTTTAACTTCCACCCGGAACGGAGTTCAACAGGCCACGCGGATGAATACACCGGTCGTCTCTCTCCGAAGAGTCACAAATCTGTTAACAGTCGCTGGAGTGTGTTTGGACTTTTATTAGGAGTTCTTAAACATGAAAAAGAAACTCTGGGAATCGGACACTTGCAGAAAGCATCTCCGCAGATGGTGACGGTTCCAGGGAACCTGGTTTCAACATCGCGCCGTGACCCGGAGGGAGGGAGGGAGTTTGTAGAGGTCCCTGTGTTCAGCTGTTGAATGCCCACTGGCTGTTTATCATGTGACTCGTCAGAACAGTTGGTTGCTGCCCTGGCTGGTTGCTGCTCGGTTGGTTGGAGCATCGCCCTGTACCCCACCAAGAGGTTGCGGGTTCGATTCCTGGTCAGGACTCATGCCTAGGTTGCCGGTTTGATCTCTGGTTGGGTGCGTGCGGGAGGCAACCGATCGATGTCTTTCTTATCAATGCCTCTCTCCCTCTCTCTCAAATCAATTAAAAAAAAAAAGTTTGGTACAGACTGCCGTCAAGCAAAGATTCCCATCCTCAGCCCACTTCCTTCTCTCTGCTCTGTGTGTGTTTGGAAGTAAGGAGAGGCTGTGTTCCTTCATCTCAAATCCCTATTCTTTTGTGATTAATCCTAATCTTTTATGATGATTCCTTAGCCTCTTTCTTCTTCCTTTAGGCTTTGTTGGATTTTTGTTTCATAGTCCAACCATGACTTCCTTGTACAGATTGTTTCACCTGGAGTTTCTGGTTGCCTTTTTTCTTTCATATTACAAGATTTAAAAAAAAAACAAAAAACATATCTTTGCCCTGGCCGCAGGGCTCAGTTGGTTGGAGCGCTGTTCCCTGCACCAAATGGTCGAGTGTTTGACTCCCGGTCTGAGCACATGCCTAGGTTGTGGGTTCGATCCCTGGTTGGGGCACATACAAGAGGCAACTGATGGATGTTTCTCTTTCACATTGATGTTTCTCTCTCTCCCTCTCTCTTCCCATCCTTCTCTCTCAAATCAATGGAAACATGTCCTTGAGTGAGGATTTAAAAACAAAACAAAACAATGTCCTTAATCAAGTCCATGGTGTTTTCCAGCATATTACTTATTCTCCACATTGGAACCCACTCCCCTCTCCCTAGAGACCCCTCATATCCTGCTATACTTTGGCCCCGCCCCTTTTCCAGGCCCCCTGTACCCCTCATCATCAGAACCCCATTTCTTACTCTCCAGGTTCAGTTGGACAGCTGACTCCCTCTTACTCAGTGCTCAGCCTCGTCTCTCTGGAGCTGATCCTGAAGTCCTTGACCCTGAGACACAAGCCCTCTGAGGACTCACTTCTGGGGAACGCCATTCCTTGCCCTTCCTCTGCACTGGTTCCTTTTCGGTCTAGGAAATTTCTCTGTGTGATTTCTTGGATAATTCCTCTCTGCCTCTGTCATTTTTTTTAATCCTCACCTGAGAACATGTTTATTGATTTTAGGGGTGATGGAGAGAAAGAGAGAGAGAGAAACATTGATTGGTTGCCTCCTGTATACTCCCTGGCCAGGGATCAAACCCACAACCCAGGTATGTGCCGTGACCAGGAATCGAACCCACAACCTTTTGGTGCGTGGGACGATGCTCTAACCCACTGAGCCACCCAGCCAGGGCTCTCCAGCTCTTCTGCTGAGTGAGCTTCCCTGGCCTGTACTCTGAGCCCCTCATTGTCTCTGTTCTACGTTCCTTCTCTGAGTTTTACCAGCCCAACCTCTCAGCCACTCACAATAAAAATTTATTTCGCAACCCATGTTCGAACTCCCGGATGGCTTTTTGGTTTTCTAAATGCGATACGCTCTTCCCTTTTGGGGAGAATGTGACTTTTCTGAGCAGTAACTTTTCATGCCTTTCCTTGACTTTGCTTCTTGGATCTTTTTCTGAGTCTGTCTCCGATGGCGATGGCGTCTGTCACACGGAAGGCTGTTCTCAACTGCCTTTTGATCTGAGTTTTGCATTTAAAGACCCGGAGGACTAGACAAAGCTGCCGCAGGCTCTGCAGAAAGTGGGAAGACCTCGCCAGAGCTCCCCCAGGTGCTACAATGAATGCAGCTCTGCTCTGTGGTTCCAGCCTCTCGATCAGCAGCTGCCTACGTTTCTTGAGACAGTTTACTTTTTCAAACTAACGCATAGGGGCTGTGTTCAGAGGGTACTCGAGGTTTGCTGTAGTCAGACGTGATGAGACCTGCAGGCACAGGAGTGTCTGTCATGAAGGAAGACATCTGTCATACTCAGAGTTCCCCAGCATCGGGAGGCGCAGGACAGGCAGGGCCCCACGGGGAGGTGCCAGGGCCATGCAGGAGGCTGAGGGAGGGGACATGGGCAAGAAAGGGGTGGGGAGGAAGCTGGGGATTGGCTTGTGAATAATTCTGGCAGACTCTGGGGCCTACGGACTGTCCTTAGCTGTCTGGCACGTCGCCCTGGAGGATGAGGGCACGTGGAGAGTGGCCTGGAATGTGGGACCCCAGCAAAGGAGGTGCTGGGGTGGGGTCTCTGCGTTGGTCAGTGTGTATTTGAGAGCTGCACTCGTGAGCTGCTGGTTCGCCACATCCAGGAACTGGCTAGCCCTGGCAGGTGAGGAAAGGGGACAGCACCCCCCTCCCACCTGACCCCGAGTCAGCAAGGCCCCAGATGTGAAAGAATACAGAAAACAAGACATTTGTTAAGTACCTGCCAAGAACGAGCCTTTCGTGGTGCGGAACCAAGGCTTTGCGGCGTGTGCCCCACCCGGTCTCACCTCCTGCTCGAGGACTGAATTCCCACCTGCCAACGGCCTCCTCAGTGGTCCTTGGTTCCAGCTTTGCTCAGAACTTTGTTTTAGATGCACACACAAAAAAAATCACCGTTTCTATGAAGTGGGGGTGGGTCCTGGCCCCTTCAGGCCTGTCTGAGAAGATCTCTCAGGTCAGCTGCAAAGCACATTTCCAGACCGATACTGGGGTGGCCGGAGAGCACACAGCAGCACCTGTCCATGCTGCTCAGACCGTGGCAGGCCGGGCCAGAGGGTGCCAGGGGCGGTCCCAGCTCATGAAATCCTCTTCCCATTTGCAGTGCTGATGAGCGATTTGACGCCACGTTCCACACCAACGTGTTGGTGAATTCTTCCGGGCATTGCCAGTACCTCCCCCCAGGTAAGATTGCTTCCTTGGTCCCCCTGCAGAGAGGCGGGCTGAGCTTGGGGTGTCAGTCCCGACGGTGCTCCCATGAGCTGTGGGCTAGCTCTGAACTCCACGTTCGTGGTGCTCTCCAGGTGTTGCAAAAAGACACTGAAGATGCTGAGCTAGCCTTTTGAGTGCAAGCATGGAGGAGCACTTGCCTGTTAGATCCCCGATCAGGTGGCTTCAACAGCGAGCTCATCGGTGACTCAGTTCTGAATGTCTCCTCTCCCTTAGCCAGTCGATGGTTAATTGCTTCCTGGGGTCCATTCTGTTCTCACCAGCCCATCAGCCGTGCAGATGCCCAGGGCCCTGGGCTGCTCTGTGACTGGTCCATGGCTCTGGAACACGGCTTTGTGGCCTATGGGTAGTAATGGGATTTTTAAAAAAAAATCTTTAAATGATGTTTCTAGGTGCCCTTTTCCAGGAGGATCTCCTTCCCACTGTGACTGATTCATATCCTGCTCCCAGGCGGTCTGCAGCCACTGCCACCTCACCACAGCCACACACACTCCAACACACCCCTCACGTACCACCTTCACATTGCATTCCGCACACGCCACACCACACACGTACCACACACACTCACACACTCACATACACGCTCACAGAATGTGGTGCCTCAGACTGTTGTGAAGACCGAGGCTGTCTTTAGCCACAGGAGCAGGGTTCTTGGCCTTCCAGTCAGCTGTGTCTACGTGCTGGCCTCCATGGCCCCGGGGCCTGCTCAGCACCAGGCCCTGTGCTGTGAACACTGAGTCCCCCTTCATTGATTGACAGGAGTGGGTGGAGCTGTGTGGCTGGGGCAGCGTGCCCCCCAGGGAAGCACAGACAGACCAGGTGCTTCCGGCCCATTCAGCTAAGCACAGGCAAAGCATGTTCTGGGCATGCGCTTTGACACCGAGACTTGGTTACAGAATAGCAACTTGGGTTTATTTTCATTGCATATTTTTATTTTTAACAGCTTTTTTTTGATGTGTAACAAATTCGCATACACATTATCTACCCACTTTAAATGCATGAGTCAACACTTTTTAGTAAATTCACAGCATTGTGCAACTATGACCAAAATCTAGCTCCAGAGCATTTTCCCATTCCCCCTAAAAAGGTCCCTCCTGCCTGGCTGCAGTTACCCCCATCCCCACGGCCAGCACCCAGCAACCGCTGACCCACCCTGTGTCACAGTGACTGTCCCTGTCCGACCATCCCATAGAAAAGGAGTGACCCCTTTGCACAGCCACATTTTCTACAGGTGCTGTGGGCCGGGGGCGGGGGGGGGGGGGCAGGCAGGTTCTAGCTCTTTCATGGTGGGTTTGATTTCCAGGTCCCTGGGAACCTTGAACAAAATGCTCCAATTATATTGAAGGGACCGACTCCAGGGGACCGGAAGTTTATCAGCTTGGTTGTGGGGTCTACGTTTGCAAGGCTGCTGAGTCCCTTCCGACATTCAATTGTTTTTCTTTTAATCTGGTGGCAGAAACTTACTGGGACCCCAGCTACTGTGCCTTCCACAGCCTTTCAGTGTTTCCGGGCGGGCGGGACACATGGGCACCGCTTGCTGAGCTGGCCTTGTCTGCTCTCCTCTTGGTGGCTGCCACCGGGAGACTCACCCCCAGCTGGTCCCAGCTGGAACCACCCTTTTCAGTGGAAGCTCTCGCTGGTGCCCAAGCACTGGCCCTTGGGTGTAAACCTAATTACTCCTTATTCTCTTCTCCTTTTTTGGAAATGTTTGTGTTTTACCCTTTATCAATTGTGTTGCCTTTTTCTATTGCATTGTAATGGTTCTATATGTCTGCTGGGTATGATCACATTTTTTTTTTCTTGTTGACACTGTTACAAATATCCCCCATTTCTTCCTTTGTCCCTCTCCATGACCCCCCCCCCCCTTCCCTCTGGCCACCAACACAGTGTTGCCTGTGTCCACGGGCTTTGCTTCTATGTACGTTTGTTCTTTGGCTAATATCTTCCAGGCCCCGCCCCCACTGCCCTTTGAGACCCGGAAGTCTGTCCCACATGCCCACGCCTCTGCTCCTATTGTGTTCATCGGTTTATTTTGTTCGTTAGATTCCACATAATGAGTGAGATCCTATGGTATTTGTCTTTCTCTGACTGGCTTATTGCACTTAGTACTATATTCTCCAGGTCCATCCATGTCGCAAAGCGTGAAAGTTTCTTTCTTCCTTTTTCTTTTTCTTTTAACAGAAGATTAGTCTTCCACCATGTAAATGTACCACAGCTTTTTTTATCCACTCATCTGCTGATGGGCACTTGGGCTGTTTAATGCTGCTGTGAACATAGGGGCCCTTATGTTCTTTCCCATCCATGTTTCTGGATTCTTAGGATACATTCTCAGAAGTAGGATTGCTAGGTGAATCAGCAATTCCATTTTTAATTTTTTGAGGAAACTCCAGGAATTCAGATAACTTAAAATTACCTTCCACGTGTACTTCTAGAGAACCAAGCGTTTTCTCCATTTTTAACCCCAGGAAAACACTCACCCCTCTCGCCAAACACACACTTTTCCAAATTCTGTTTGGGAGTGTATCATCACTTCTGCCAGCTCCTCCTGGGTTTTTTTTTTTCCACAGCCTCCACTTTTGTCATGTCATTTAGAATTTGAAGGTGTGTGTGCATGGTAACAGCGCATTTAAAGAACTTCTCATTGTTTGCAGAGACCCCTCAGAGCAGGCTTTAATAGAGCATGCTGGTGCTGCCTTGAATGTTAAGACACTGAAGCTTCAGCTGAATGTTTCACTGGAGACTTTCTTAAAGACTCTGCTTATTCTAGAAGGTCCAGCTGCAGTCTGGAGGAGCAGTATGGGCTCTGCCCACACTCGGTGGAGAGGCCCTGGTGCCCTCATTGCCTCCTCTTCAAGGGGGGGGGGACAGGAGGGCCAGAGAATGAGTGCACAAAGCACTGATCAAAAAGACAGACAGCCCTGGCCAGATCAGATGGCTCAGCTGGTTGGAGCATCGTCCCACGCACCAAAAGGTTATGGGTTCGATCCCCGGTTGGGGTGTGTACAGGAGGCAGTGATTGATGTTTCTCACATCGATGTTTTCCTCTCTCTCCTTCCTTCCCTCTCTAAAATCAATTTTAAAAAAATATATCCTTGGGTGAGGATAAAAAAAGAGACATATGTAGCATCGTAAAGAAGGTCGTATTTAACTCACCAGCCTTTTATTGAACGAGCAAGGTTCTTACTCCTCGAGGGGCGGGCATCGTGTGTGGTGAACGGCACAGGAGGCCGGAGACCAAGGGGTGGCTGTGTGTTCACACATCTTTATTTTTAACATGTTCCAGCTGCACGGAGGTGTGGTTGACCGATTGTGGCGTGTGATGACAATATAAACACCGTGAAATTGTTTCCACAATCAAGATAATCACACAGCTGTCACCTCACACCCTCACCTTTTTATTATAAAAGATGCTTCAGATCTACTCTCTTAGCACGTCGCGAGTGTACGATACTATTAACCGTAGTCACCATATGGGACATCCAGCCCTTCGCACTTAGCCGTCATGTACCCTGGCAACCACCACGCAACTCTCTGTTTCCACGAGTTCAGCTTTTGTTTTTCGAATTCCATGCATAAGCAATACCCTACAGTGTCTGTCTTTGTTTCACTTAGCATAAGGCCCTCAAGGGTCACCCACGTTGTGGCAAACAGCAGGATGTCCATCATTTCAAAGGCTGAATAACATCACGCATAACCCGTGTGTGTGGTGCAGTACACATGCGTGCATGTGCATACACACGTGTGTGTTCTGACAGCACCGGTCGCCCACACAGGCATCTTCAAGAGCTCCTGCTACATCGACGTGCGCTGGTTCCCCTTCGACGTGCAGCAGTGCACACTGAAGTTCGGGTCCTGGTCCTACGGCGGCTGGTCCCTGGACCTCCAGATGCAGGAGGCGGACACCAGCGGCTACATCCCCAACGGAGAGTGGGACCTCATAGGTAGGTGCGGCGAGGACGTGAGACTCACTGCCCCGAGGAAACCGCTTTATTCCAGTGCTTGCTCAGAGGTTTGGGGCTTTTTTCTCCACTCCGCTTTCGGGGGCAGGATTCACGGCACTCTGCGGCCCCCTCTGTGATTTACGGGAAGCTAGAGGATTAGAAACAAAAGCAATTAGCAAGTTCGGTGCTTCCCACAAGGAGCTCGGTAAGATACATTCCAACAAGCCGGCGCTAGTACAGGCGTCCCTACGTCGTTTGAATCTACTCTGTCCCTAAAGTCACGTTGGACAGCAACCCGCAGGCCATGGGGACCTACACGAGGAGATTTTATACAGAAAAACAATCACTGCATTTATAGTGGTGTAAAGTGTACAAGACACAGGGTCCGGCAGAAGCGACCCCTACTTGAGTGTGTTTGGTCAGGTAAGGACATGGGTGCAGTGATTTATAGTTCTAATTTGAACGTTTCACCTAAAATGTCCTGTGGTGTGTTGAGCATGATATGGCTCTGTTACAGAATCATACGCTTGTGATTTTGTAATACAAAGGGGCGTTATTTGTGCTGGACCCCGTGTTATTTATAATCACGGTGTCTCAATCCACTCGGCTGCTGTAACAGGAGACTATAACACAGACTGAGTGGCTTATAAACCACAGACATTCACGTCTCACAGTTCTGGGGGCTGGAAGTCCAAGATCAAGGCACCCGCAGATCCAGTGTCTGGTGAGGGCAGCTTTCTGGCTGGAGGCGGCTGCGGTCTTCTTGCTGTGTCCTCACGTGGCAGAAGGGGCCCACCAGCAACCTGGGGTCTCCTTTCTGAGGTCCCTCATCCCGTGCCTGAGGGCTGCGCACTCCTGACCTAATCCCCTCCCAAAGGTCCCACCTCCTAATGCCATGACACTGGGGGTTAGGGTTTAATATATGAATTAGGGGGTGGGGCACAAGCATTTGGTCTGTAGCACATGTACTTCCAATCCATCAAACAATTCTGCTAATTTGTTCACCCATCGCTAAGACACTTCCAAACAACTCTTGGATAAAACAGGAAGTGTTTATTCAAACATTGATTGCCCAACTTTTTAGCACGTAAACTTCTCCATGGCTGTGTTTGCGTGTGCTACGCATTAAACTGAACAAACAGGGTAATGTCACGTAAGTGATAGTTCGCCTTCTCCCCTCCCGGTGCAGGCATCCCGGGCAAGCGGAGCGAGAAGTTCTACGAGTGCTGTAAAGAGCCGTACCCCGACGTCACCTTCACCGTGACCATCCGCCGCCGGACCCTCTACTACGGCCTCAACCTGCTCATCCCCTGTGTGCTCATCTCCGCCCTGGCCCTCCTGGTCTTCCTGCTCCCGGCAGACTCCGGGGAGAAGATCTCCCTCGGTAAGTGCCCATCTTCGGTGGGGGTCTGAGACCGGACGGGAGGATGCCCCACGGAGTTCAGCACCCCGGACAGCGCCGGACGGGCGAGGCTCTGGGTGCACGCAGGGGCCGCAGGGCCCAGGACGGCACCCTGAACCACAGGCTGCTGGTGTCAGTTCTGTGTGGTTGTCAGGCCCTGCTGAGGTACCACAGCACCCTATGACCCTACACGGACCGTGGGAACCCCCAGGGAGGGGCCCTTTCTCCCCTCCTGCCACCTCCTTCTGCCTTTTGAGAGCAACCAGCCAGCATGCGCCAAGTACAGGAAATAATTTCGTTTAATCCATTATCAGCTTGCATTTGCAAATTGCCCTACACAGCGTAATTCCTTAGGGTCATCTAGTAGCAAGATCATTTAACATTTACAGCAGCCAAATGAGTTTCTCAAATTCTCAGAGTCACCAGAGAGCGTATTTGGTCCATGTAGAAACCACTCTCACATCCATGTCTTCTGAGTGCGAGGCTGGGGCACGTTCGGTGACTCATCCAAGGTCGCACAGCTCGTGAGGAGCACAGTCAGGACTTTGAATGGGCACTCTTCTTCTTCCTGCCAAACGACACCACCTCTCAACACTAAAGTAATAAAGAAAACGAGAGATTCTAACGCTAACTGCAGTGACTCGTTTTGCGTCCTTCTAAAGCTCTGGCTCTGAAATTTCACTCCACCAAGCGCTCCTCAATGCCGTGACTGTCCCCGAAGAACGGCCCATCCCCTAAGTCCAGGGAACCAGGCAGTTGCTTTCGGGGGTGTCTTGGACACACCTGCCCTTCCCCCAGACACTTTCGGGGTCTCTAACTCACCCGTTAGGATCCCGTTAGAGGCGTGTGAGGTCTTATAGTCAGTCTGTCTCCGGCGCCCCTTGTTTTTCTTTCAGGGATAACAGTTTTGCTCTCTCTCACCGTCTTCATGCTGTTGGTGGCTGAGATCATGCCTGCGACATCCGACTCGGTGCCCTTGATAGGTAAGCCAGCGTGGGGCTCCTCTCGGAGACAGGGGCTTGCAAGGGGGCCGGGATCTCCTAGCACTGTCTCAGGGCAAAGCGACTCCTCCAAGGTCATGGAGAGCTGCAGCGCCCCCTGGCGTCTGCCGTGAGGTGGTGGCTGGTAACTATTCAGAGTGGTCCACGGCCTCTCTGCTCACCTGGGCCCAGGTGAGCGCAGTGGGGAGTCCAGCTTTGCAGTTTGGCTCTAAGATGCAAAAATGCCCTCTCCCACCCTACGTCTCCCCCTCGTGTTTGTGTTGGAGCCAGAGATTTTCCCATGAGAGATTCATTGTTGTAGCTCAAACCATCACCTTCTCACAAACCCTTTGTTAAAATGGGATGGGCACACACTTCGACTCTCGGCCACTGTTTCCTGAGGTAACACAATGTCTCCGTGGAAAGTTTGAGCATGCGAGGGCACGCGAGCAGGACAAATGTGCCTCGGCCCAGACAGATCTTACTTGTGGCTTTCTGCCGGGGAGGGATGGCAGGGGCAGAGGGCAGCATTGCTTTGTGCCGGGAGCCTCCCTGGACTGGACTACGCAAAGGGGTGCTCAGAGGCGCGCTGGTTAGGGTCTGGCACCCTCACCACAGCGGCCAGGGCTCTATCCTGGCCAGGGAACCGGCCCTCCCGGCCAGATGTGAAGACAGGAAGCAAACACTCTGCCAGTGGGAATTAGGTTTCACACTAGAGTCACTGCCCCCCTTGGGCAGTGGGGGACAGAAGCAGGAATGCCGTCTGCGATCACTCCTGTGGGCCCACACCGCCTGACAGCATCCTTCGTGGTTACCTAGGGGTGGGTGGGAGTGGGGGAGCCTTACAGGGACACCCCAGGCTTCATGAACTTGATGGTCTGCCACCATTCCTGCCACCTTCCAACACAGTGCTTTCAACAGGGACGAGCAGCGGAAACCGCCCTCAGTGGGCGGTGGGCAGGCCTGCCCTGACTGACCAGCCAATGGGAGAGCATGTGTCTGGAAGGACAGAATGCTGTTGGCCTTGACCTAGGTTTTGACATTTCAGCTGTGAGATCCTCTCACCCTGCATCCCTCCCTAGGTCATTGCATTAGCCTGCTGGAGACGTCCCAGTACAATCCCACAAAAGGGGGCTTCCAGCACAGAAATGTATCTGCTCATAGTTCTGGAGGCTGGAAGTCCAAGGGCAAGGTGTTGGTAGGTGGTTTTTTCTGAGGCCTCTCTCCCTGACCTGCAGACGACCGCCCTCTGGCTGGGTCCTCACGTGTGGGCTCCTCTCTCTGCATCCATCACCGGTGTCTCTTCCTGAGTTCAAATCTTCAAATCTCCCCTTCCCAGAAGGACACCCATCAGATGGGATCAGGTCCCACTAATGACCTCATTTTAACTTAATCACCCCTTCAAAAGCCCCCTTTGGTCCCTGGTGCTAACTTTAAGTCTCAGAGACCAGCTTCCAGAGGATCCTCACAGGCACCTCTGGTCTCTGGAGAGGACAGTGAGCTCCTTCCTACCTGGAGGGCAGGAGGCGTCCCTACCACCCGGGTGTGGGCCGCACACCTGGCTGTGCCCCAGTATGCTTCCTGCTTATAGCTCTGCCCCCTTGGCAGCCAGCCTCACTGCAGGGTTAGTCATCAGAGCTGCCAATCAAAGAATGCCACCAGCCATATGCCAGGCTCCTCCTGGACCCCTGGCCCAAAGAATTCCTGCACGGAACCTACAGAGAAGGCATTTCCACCCTGGCCCTGCTGGTCAGTGAATGACCCAAGGCCCCGGGAGGCTGGGTGGCGGTGCAGACTCACAGATGGTGGCCAGTGGGCCAGAGGGAGCTCTTTCCGCTGCTGTGCGCTGCTTCTCACCAGGGGCAAGGTGGAGACGTGCAGCTTGCCCATCAGAGCTGAAATGCATGTGCCCGGCCTGAAAAGTCACTGCCGCCGCCCTCTTCCTCTGGCAGCGCCAGCAACACCCCCCTCCCCCAGTGCCTCTGGGTAGATGGGGTGAGACTCGTCTTCCACACCAGGCCCCCAAGTCTCCAGGCCTGATAGGACAGCTAGGTGACACCGGATCTGCCCTCATTACACCCGCAGCACGTCCGTGCCCTGCGGCCACCAAGAGGTGCCCACACTCTCCCCATCCAGGCGGTTTCTGTTACAATCTGGGTCCGTATGCTTTCTCATGCGAGCCACCCCCTCAGCCCCTCAGGGGCCCCTCACTGGACCCCTGTGATGGGCTGCGGAGTCTCACTGGAGGTCTGTGTCCACCTCTGCCCTGAGATTTTTGCGCCACCTGGCCGTGTCTCACCCCGCACCCGCTCTCTCTGCAGCCCAGTACTTCGCCAGCACCATGATCATCGTGGGCCTGTCTGTGGTCGTCACCGTCATTGTGCTGCAGTACCACCACCACGACCCTGACGGCGGCAAGATGCCCAAGTGGGTGCGTCCCTTCCCCACCCCCCAGCCCCACCGCAGGGAGTCAGGGCCCTTCCCCAACCGAAGCGCCAGGATGACTGGTCTAGTTTAAAAGTCCCAACCGCCAGCGTCCCCTAACTAACAAAGAGCAGTGCTTCTGCGACCTCACCTGCCTGCACTACTCTGCCTTCGGGATGGTGGCATGGCTCTTAGGACCTGGCCCGCGGAGCAGGGCCCGCACACTGGCTGCCCCGTGTGTCCTCCTGGCACAGCGACTTTAAAAGCTCCCTTTCGCGCATGCGCCATGGAGAACCACACAGGGGCTGGACACAACCGCGTGGTGGGTGCACAGCGGCGCCGTTGGGTCCTCCAAACAGTAAGAAGAGAGTCGCTGTGCACAGAAATAGACATTCAGTACACGGGGATGCACTCCGACCCAAGTCCTACCGAATGAAGGTCTGTAGTCCCCAGTGGGACAGGGGATGGGAGAAAAGGAAATAGGTGAAAAAGAAAGGATTGAATATCATAGCCTGTCCATTAGCCTGGGTGATGCCTTCCACGCCAGCATCTGTGAGGGCTGTCCCCACCTGCTCCTAACCTGGACCCTGCACACCCTCCAGCCTTCCTGTCCAGAGAGGGTGACCTGGGGACAGCGGGAAGCTAAAGAAGCCATCTCATGTCCAAAGAGCCCATGTTTAGAGACCCTAGCGTCCAAGGTCAGGCAGCTAAATGCGTTGCAAGATAAAAGGTGCATTTTGTTGAACCTCCAGGAGCAGGGCGATCTGGGCCTTCTAACAACCTCCATTGTGCAATATTGACAGTTATGCCAAGTTCACACAGGAATAGCCACTATTTTTTATGGGTTTTTATCTTGTTAGTTGGTAGCATGTATACTTTTAAAGCTAGCAAAGCTGCAAGAAGGCTACCTGGCATTATACACAGTAGCCAAGACACGGAAGCAGCCTAAATGGCCATCAGTAGACAAATAAATAAAGATGAGGTATATACACACAATGGAATGTCCCTAGACCATAAAAAGAAGGAAATATTACCATTTGTGACAACATGGATGGACCTAGAGGGTGTGTTGCTAAGTGACATACGTCAGAAGAACAAATACCACATACACATTTTGCTCATATACGGAATCTAAAGAAAATGGCTTCACAAAGTTCCTATGTCCCCTTAGATCCCTTCCCATGGCAAGTTCTTACACTTAATAACAATTCTCATACCTCATTGTACCAGCAGGAGAGTGAGCTTCTGTTAAATGCCACCGCTTCACCTGCAGGGCACATGGCCCTGTCCATAGGCTTGTTTTGAAAAGGTCCCCCTTTTCTAACCCGGACACACTTTCCGTCCACCGACGCATCTGTTTGAAACAGGAAACACATTTCCATGTCATAAAAGTGAGATGACACGTCAGGAAATTCTGCTCTGGCCCCAGCTCCTCCCTCCACCACCAGTGCTGAAAACCATTTGAATTAAGTCCCTTTTTTTTCCTTCCAGTGTTTGTGTATGCAAATATCAACACACATTCTTATGTCTTATATTTGGACTGATGTAAAAATCAGGGAATTGGCCCTGGCTGGTGTAGCTCAGTGAATTGAGCACTGGCTGCGAACCAAAGCATCGCAGGTTTGATTCCCAGTCAGGGCACATGCCTGGGTTGCAGGCCACGGCCCCAAGCAACCGTGCATTGATGTTTCTCTCTCTCTCTTTCTCCCTCCCTTCCTTCTCTAAAAATAAATAAATAAAATCTAAAAGAAAAAAAATCAGGGGCTTAAGACAGAAAGGCACCAAACCATTTTTAATGACTGAGCAGCGCTGGACTCTTCCAGAAAAATCTTAATGAAGAGCAATAATTATCTGCCTCTTAACACAGGAGTGTGCTAGAGCCAATGGCTGCAAATGAGATGGGAAGCCTGGATCTCACGCTCTCATTGCACATAGCATACTGCGTTTTTCTTTCCTCCTTTCCAAGTGTATTTGAAACAGAAACAGCCTCCGAGGGACTTTTATTATGATCTGCAGCTCTGAAAGAGATACTGCCGAGCGCGGTGGCATTATGTGACATTTGCACAGCCAGAGACAAAACTGTGACCTAACAGAAGGGGTCACGAGCACAGTTTGATAAGTGCCAAGAGGATAATGTCATCTTTCGAGATAGTTGAGCCTTGAAAGCCAATGATTCAAGCTGAAATTGACTTGGCGTTGTGGATCGTATTAGCTTGAGATGAGCCTCCCCCCACGTGGTGGGAGAAGCTGCTGGCGAGACTGCCCAGCGCTCCGAGTGCCCGGCTGCCTCTGGTCTGGATGCACACGTGCCCAATGCTCTCCCTCGGGCTGTGGCCCAGGCTCCCCGGTGCCTTCTGGGTGGGTGGGGGCTACACTCTCGGGAGTCTGAAATTGAACCCTGTGGGGCCTTTGACAGGCCAGGAGTCCACATCAGTCAGGTGACGTAATCCCTATGATACCCTGGGCCAGTGTATTGGCCTCTTTGGACCTCGGCTTCTTTATTTGTAATGTGGGGGCATATACGGACTTCTAAGGGTCTTAAAAGACCCCAGTGACACCGCGTGTCTCCTGAACCTGGTGGGGAGGGCTGACATGGAAACCTTGGAAACCACCAACCGTGGAAAAGCCTCGAGGGCCAGCAGACCGGAGGTCAAGGGCTGTGGGTGGCATGCAGAGAGCCACCTGCGGGGACCACGGGCTGTGCTCACAGCCACAAGGAAACTGCTCCCATGTTTCCTTGTCCTTCTCATGGCCTGTTCCTGTGCCAGTGCACTGCCGTGGTCAGTGACCACCAGGAAGTGCAACAGACATGAAATTCACATCTAATAGACAGACAATGTCCCTGTTATTTAGCCGATGGAGCCTGCCTACAATCAAACCGAAGTGAAAACAGTTTCCCGGGCAGGGCCCGCGTTTCAGGTTCTGATGTGAACAGGCCCCTGCAAGAACACGCTGCTTTATTACCTGGATCAAGGCCTCAGGTGGCTCCCTTCACCTGAGGGCACATGGATGGCTCTCTTTCCATCAAAGGGCGGAACAAGAATGTGCCCCTCCCCCCATGTCTTCTGCGTGTGTGGGCCACGCATGATCATACACATCAGGTCAGAGGCCTGCAAACTATGACCCGGGTGCCGCATCCAGCCCACCGAGCACTTTTACAAATGACATTTTATTAGATATTTTATTAGGAAACAGGCATGCCTCTTCCTTTACAGGCTGGCTGCGGCTGATTTTGCCTCGTATCAGCAGAGCGGAGTGAAAAACAGGCTACAATATGTGCCCTCTGACCCTGCCCAGAAAGGCCGACGACACCCCTGTCTCAGATGTTCACGCCTGTGATCTTGCTCACTCGTCCTTGCAGCCTAATGACTAAGCTTGGAGGTCCCTGAGCTCCCTTGATTAGTACAGCTTTAGTGTCCGGCAGTTCGTTTTGTTTTGTTTTTACCCACAGAGCCCCCAGGGCACATGAAATCCCCAACGGTTCTGTGTACTGAACAGGACAAAACAAGCTGAGGAGTCTGGACAGCTCAGCGCCTGCTGGCGCCGCCGCCTACCTCTTCGATCCTGGGAGCCCTACCCTCATTTCCTGTTTCACACTGTTGACTTCCGCTGCCCTTGCTTTTACATTCCAGCCCCCCGCCGCCCCCCCCGCCGCCTTGCAGTGCTCGGACACTCCAGCTTGAACGGCTTCAGGCTAGGGGTTCGCCAGCATCGGACAGAGGTCACCGGGTTGCCCTTGTAAACTAAAAGTCCCTGGGGCGCCCTGGCCGGGTGGCTCAGTTGGTTGAAATGTCATTCCCGTTCACCAGGGTTACGGGTTCGATCCCTGGTGGGGGCAGGTACAGGGATCAACCAGTGGATGCACAGATAAGTGGAACAACACTTTGGTGTAGTAAAGTAAAATAAAACCTCTGGGAGTTAGGTAAGGAGGGATCAGAGAGGCAAAGCCACTTGCCCTGTTCACACAGCTCAGGGCTGTCATTCCATGCAAGGCAGCCTTCTCTTCCCACGGGGGGCTGTCTTCCCTGTGATGGCAGTGCGCCGTTCAGAGAAGAATCCCGCTCGTCCCCCGGTGGGGGAGGAGGGGGGCCGCTGCCCCCAGGGTACTGCAGGGTTCCACGGGCTGGTGCCTGCATCGGGCCACTCCTCATGCTCCATTGTGTCTCCGCAGACCAGGATCATCCTCCTGAACTGGTGCGCCTGGTTCCTGCGCATGAAGCGGCCGGGCGAGGACAAGGTGCGCCCGGCGTGCCAGCACAAGCCGCGCCGCTGCAGCCTGGCCAGCGTGGAGATGAGCGCGGTGGCGGGGCCGCCGGCCTCCAACGGCAACCTGCTCTACATCGGCTTCCGCGGCCTGGACGGAATGCACTGCGCCCCCACGCCGGACTCCGGGGTCGTGTGCGGCCGCCTGGCCTGCTCCCCGGCGCACGCGCACGACGAGCACCTCCTGCATGGCGGGCCGCCCTCCGAGGGGGACCCGGAGCTCGCCAAGATCCTGGAGGAGGTGCGCTACATCGCCAACCGCTTCCGCGGCCAGGACGAGAGCGAGGCGGTGTGCAGTGAGTGGAAGTTCGCCGCCTGCGTGGTGGACCGCCTGTGCCTCATGGCCTTCTCCGTCTTCACCATCATCTGCACCATCGGCATCCTCATGTCGGCGCCCAACTTTGTCGAAGCTGTGTCCAAAGACTTCGCTTGACATGCCCGGCTCCCAGCGGGCAGGACACGCACGCACAGGCTGGCGGTGACCAGGCCTCGGAGGGTGGCCAATCACAGCATCACCCTCAGACGCCTTGGTTCCAGTCTCCTTGTCACTTTCAGGGAAAGGATGTGGGCGCGTTTCTGTGTCATCTTTTCAGAGGAGCTGCTGGCTGTCCTTGGAACAGCCTCCTGGTCAGCAGGACCCTTGGAAGGTCCTTCTGCCCGTCCCTACTTCCTGGGGAGCCCAGCTGGGAGGCGGGGTGGCCAAGATGGCTAGTCAGAGGGGCCTTCAGGGCTGGTCTTGCATGCCTGCATGTCACTTGCGTGACAGTTCCACGTCTGCTTTAGCCTGTGCACACACCTAGATCGGTTCTACTTCCAGTGACAATGAACCCCATTTACCAAATCCATTCCAATAGCTGGCTGGTGAAAGGAAATAGGCCTCAACCAAACTGAAGCTAAACACTGATGGCTGATTTTTCTACAGTTCAGATTTCATGTACCAAGACAGTTGGCAGAAGTAGTTTTATGCTGTTTCAATGTTTTAAAAAGAGAGAAAGACATAGCTGACCTTGTAAACGATCCTCTTAGCGGCTCAGTTTCTGCCACCCAGCCTCATCTAGGGAGGACAGGACTGGTCAAGCCAGGGGGGTTTCTCTAGAGTCCAGGAAAGCCCCCACTCCGGCGTGCTGCCCCCAACATAGGGGGCAAGTGATCTGCTCTGCCCTGCAAAACCCAGAGGGCGGGGGAGTTCTATCAGAATTACCAGCCCAGCCCTAGCAGGTGGGGCTCATTCAGTTGGAGTGTCATCCCGTAACCAGGGAGTTGAGAGTTCGATTCCCAGTCAAGGGACACACCTGGGTTGTGGGTTCGATCCCCAGTTCGGGCACATACAGGAGGCAATGGATGGATGTTTCTCTCTCACATCGATGTTTTTCGCTCTCTCCCTTCCTCTTTCTAGAGGTAATGAAAAAATTTCCTCCGGTGTGGATCAGAAAATAAAAAGAATTGCCATTTAGATCATGGAATATCTAAAGCTAAATTAAGCCGTGTGTGTGTTTTTTTAAAGGAATGCATTAGATTTGTGCACATGTACTGGGGTGGATGAGGCTTAGAAATCTGTGGATCCCTACAAGTGCGCAATATAACGTGAAAGTATCCTGTGCTTTTCCTCTGTGTTTCCAAGCCAGGGCCAGAGGCTGGGGCCTCTTCTTGCTCCCTGTGTGGGGGAGGGGATGGTGTGGCCCAGGCTTCCCCGATGACAGGCAGTCGTGGTCAGCAGGAGGGGCTGGTGGGCCACCGTGGCTGCACAGCCAGTCACGCAGGTGCCTGGCTTTTGGGGACCCACTTCCCCACAGCCTGTCCACCCAGCTCAGCCCAGAAAGCTGTGCGACGTGTGTTTTGAAAGCCAAGGCAACTTTAATGTTGAACTTACACAGTGACAGAATTCACCACTTAGACTGTCTGGCTGACACCAGTTCCTTGGCCTCTCGCCATCTTTCTTATCTTTTAATAACATCAGAGGGAGACACAAGAAAACATCTCCCGTTCAACTGTGTCCTCCAGTCACTGCCCAGAGCTCAGATGTGCAGGAGGCTCTGTGCCCTGGGACCTCCAGGGTGCTTCTGGCCCCCCGACTTAGGATTCAATTTTTCAGAGCAAAAGAAATCGCAGACATTTCTCCAGCCATTCACTTCACTCGTTTCTGGCTGACGCACATGGACTTGTTTGTAGTGGGGAAGATGGCGTGTGCTGTGTGTGCATGTGAGTGTGTGTGAGTGAGTGTGAGCGCCTGTGTGCAGGTGCAGAGAGGATACCTGGCGTATGACCAGTTTGATAAGTAAGGCCATCCCTGCATCACGCCGGGAGAGCCAGTGCTTGGCTTGGAGCTCACCTGTTCTCGTGGGATGGACAACCCCTGCTGTTTCCTTTCTTTTCTCTCCTTTGTTAATGTCTGTGAAACTCCTTTTAGAAACAGGTCGGGTGTTTTGATATATGTTAAGAAAATGCTTCATTTCTTGCTGCTGTCAGAAAATGGGTCCCCACTCCATTTTTGCTTTTGGAAAAAAAAAAGCCTTTTTGGTTTTGTATTTTGTGCAAAAAAACAATAAAAAGCAAACAAAAGTAGTTCGTATTTTGACCATCCAAGTAACTGCTCTGCATTTTCCAATGTAATGAGGACACGTGGCTTAGAAAAGTGTGAATGACTGGGAACAAGTTTTTATCTTCATTAATTCGCCGGTGCACTTTGGAACCTTTCTGTTTTGTGTCTGCAAATATTTTTATTTGTTTATTTGGCTTTTGATGTTATTTATCAGTTTATTTATTGGCATAGAGAAAGTGTACAGTTTCATGTTGTCGATTTATCATATTTTCATTCATAGATCCTGGGGTTTGTTTCTAGTTTTAAAAGGCCTACCCCATTCTGATTATAAATAAACTCACTCCTATTTTCTTCTACATCCTCATGGTTTTATTTGTTCACCTTTACGTCTTCCAAGTCCCTGGGGTTCACTTATTGCAGGTAATGGAGGTAAAGATGCCTTTTCTTTGTTTTCTCCAAATGGCTGGTCACTTGCGCCAATAAAATATATAAACAGTGTCATTTGGTAATACAATTATAATCTTTTCCCCACTTGTTCAAAATGCCATTTTTTGGGTAACTAAATTCCTTTAAATGTGTGGCTCTATTTTTTTATTATCTCTCCATGAGTGCCTTTAAATTTCTAAGGCTTAATTCATATTAGCATCAAATATTTTCATATTAATATGAAAATTTATGAATTACTATGAATACTTTAAGTCGATACTCCTCTCAACTCTCATCCCCTCTCCCCCCCACACAGACATGCATCTGTTTTTTAAATGGGTCGCACTGAATTTATACAATCAATCTTTCTACTCGAGAATACTGCAATCTAGGCCTGTATGCAAATCTCATTTTACATCATTGAGCGGGTTTTATGGTTTTGTTCTGACAGGTCCTACACATTTCTCGTTGTTTATTTCTGAATATTTCATCACTTGGCAAGCACTTTCAATGGAGTGATTGCTTCTGTTTTATTTTCTCATTGGATACATGGGAAAGTAGTAGATTTTGTATATTAATGTCATAACCACCATAACTGTGATTTCTTACTGTTTCCAAGATTTTTTTTCTTGCCTCCTCCTGTCCAATATTTCCCTTACTTGTTTCTCTTACCAACTTGAGCATGGTGTTCAATAATAGGGGTCATTTTTTAACAGGGGTTAAAAAAATACACACCTGTCTTCTCCCGACAGCAATGGGAAGGTTCAGTGTCTTGCAGCGCACTTGTGTGAAGGCACATATTTTTGTTGTCATAATAAAAAAGTATCAACACATTCTCAAACGATCAAGGCTTTCAGGGGAAAACATTTCTGATAGATTTTTGTCACAGCCTCTCCAGTATCCATGGAGACAGTCAGATTTCCTGTTCTCAGTCACTCGGCCATATTATCTTAACAGATTCCTTAAGACCACTGTTCTGGTGCTGAGGTGATCCCTCTCTATGATTCTGGATGTCCATATTCATAACTGAGATTAGTCACTTAACACTTGGCTTTGGTGTGACAAACACAAAAACAACCTCTCTACTTGGCAACTGCTTACTAGGTTTTAAATAATTTTCTACCCCAGTGTAACAGGGCGAGGCTGGGGGCTGTCCCAGTGTCCACGGCCATGTTTCTTTCTGGGTTTATCTCCCTGGGAAGGTCCGGTCCTTGAGCACTTCTGGAATCGAGTTTAGTTATAGGTATTTTCTTAGAACACTAACTGCAATATTTTTCAGCAGATTGGCCTCGTTTTGCAACATGGGCATTTAGAAGTTGCACATTTGTCAGTATTCATGGTTATTTCTTTTTCCATTTCTAGTCATGTGCATATCTCCTTTCTTCTGTTTTTATGGGTTTGGCTCGCCGAGGATTTTATTTTCTGTAGGTTTCCAGACACCGAACTCTTAGACTTATTCATCAGTCCCGTGACCTGACGGCAGCCCTGTCGCCTGCCTGTAGGCTACCTGGTGAGCCTGGAACAGGGGCCACACCCGGGAGGGGTTGCCTTCCCTGCTGGCCTTTGGGCTCCAGTGCCAGGACAGGAGTTTTCTTTGGCAGTGGGTCCTCACAACCTGCAAACCGCCACACCGCCCAAGTCCTGTATGAGCCCCGCCCACCCTGCCCAAGTCCTGTATGAGCCCCGCCCACCCTGCCCAAGTCCTGTATGAGCCCCGCCCACCCTGCCCAAGTCCTGTATGAGCCCCGCCCACACTGCCCAAGTCCTGAAGCGAGTCCCACCCACATGCCCAAGTCCTGAAGTGAGTCGGTCTGACCCCTCACACGGAGACGCACCCCAGGCTCCCCATGCGTATGTTGCATGTACTCTCCCTCGCTGGAACCAGTAAAAGGCCCAACGTATTCACCTGCAGGTGTGGTCCTGGGGTCTTCGGCTAGAGGACATTTCTGTTACAATATATTCGGGTAGCCCTGGCTGGGTGGCTCAGTTGGTTGGAGTGTCCTGTGTACCAAAAGGTTTGGGGTTTGATCTCCTGTCGGGGCCAACCGATTGATGTTTGTCTCTCTCCCTTCCTCTCTCTCTAAAGTCAATACACATACCCTTGAATGAGGATTATGTTTCAAACACACACGCACATATTTGGTTAGCACTCATGGGCTAATTTCCATGAGGCCTTTTAAAACATGTAAAATAGCCCTGGCTGGTGTAGCTCAGTGGATTGAACATGGGCTTCGAACCAAAGGGTCACCAGTTCGATTACCAGTCAGGGCACATGCCTGGGTTGTGGACCAAGTCCCCAGTGAGGCAACCACACATTGATGCTTCTCTCCCTCCGTCTAAAAATAACTAAAGTGAAACCTTAAAAACGAAATAAAACATGTAAAGCAGCATATACATTCCACCCTCACCTGGCCACCAACGGCCATGCTAGCATACCCTTGACCAACCCTCTCAGCAAAGTTCTGAGCCAAGAACAACACCCTTGCTGTGTGTGTGCTCGCGTGTGTGGTGCTGGAACACCTCCAGGAGGAACATCAGGCAGTGTTTTCTTCATTCATTAATCTAATGAATCTACTAGGGACTAATGGGCCCCATCTAGCCCTTCCCCGCCCTTCCCAGCCCCTCTGCTGTGCCCCTAAGCCTCACACTGCATGAGCTCACAATCACTGTGCATCTGCTTCCAAAGAACATTTTTCAGAGAACAAACAAGGAAACAAAAGGGCGTTCGATGGGTGTCTGCCAGTGTGCTCACTGCATTTCATGCAAACTGTTACCTTCGCACGTGCTCACACAAAGGAACACACGGAAGTAAGTGGCATGTCCGGGTGTTCTTGGAGAAAAGCCCGGAACAGGCTGCCGTCCTGCTCCTCCAACCTAGGAGGGGTCTTGCTCAGCCCTCGGGGCTTCTGGAAAGTTCTCCTGGAAGCCCAAGGCAGCTGCAGATGTGCCATGCTCAGCATGCACAGGGGAAGCCAGGGGACCATTAAAACCTAACAGGGGCTGGGGACAACATTCTGGACCAGACGCTGGACACGTGCCTGTCTCAGGCAGGCCTGCCCAGTAGGCACCTGTCGCCTTTGGATTTACTAACTTACCAAGTCGCCCACCACCCTCTGCTGCATTTCCCAGCTGAGCTCCCTGAGTAGATGTACTCGAGAGGTGCATTTGTGGTGGTCCAGATAAGTCGCATGGATGACGGCACATGTCTTGTCACAAACAACACTGTGATCCCACAGCCATCTGTCTCTGTGGTTCCCTTGGACTTACCACAGGCTGATTTTCTTTTTTTAGAGAGAGGGGAAGGGAGGGAGAAAGAGGGAAAGAAACATTGATATGAGAGAAACATCAATCAGCTGCCTTTCCACGCACCTCACCGGGGACCTGGCCCCACAACCCAGGCATGTGCCCTGGCCGGGAATCGAACCGGCGACCTTTCAGTTTGTGGAATGATGCCCAACCCACTGAGCCACGCTGGTCTGGGCCGGGCTGATTTTTTACAAGAGCTCAGGTTCCTGGCTCAGCCTGCCTTTGCTGAAGAGTCTCCCTGCACAGAAGACAAGTGAGGGCTCCAAATTCTAACCCATGGAATTCTAAATTCTAATTCTAACAGTTCTAACTGTTCTAGCCCAGTTCTAACTCGTCCAGTTCTAACACCAAGTTCTTTCCAGAACTTGTCCTGTTCTGTCCAGTTCTAATGCCGAGTCAGACGTCATCCATGTCCAGTGCCTCCCTCGAAAACCTCCAGCTCTCCACCGCCTGGTGCGAAAGGACCCAGCCCGGCGTTGTCCACACGGTGCTGTAAGCACATCTCAAGTGATGTCTGTTGAAGACAAATCACGGCATGTTCTGTCTACCCAGGGGTGTCTTTGGTTAACAACGAGCAGGAGGCCTGCGTTCCTTATAGAGCCCTCTGACCACCCAGCAGTTTACGGAGTGCAGAGGAAGAAAAGGTGCTTTTCACCCGCTGACACTGCTGCATAACAACTTTGACACTGAACTTTTGAAGACGGGACCCCTGATTATTGTGTGTCCACATTATGAAAAGTGTACTTTGGTCTCACAGTCAAGCTGCACCCCTAACATTTACGGCTGTGTGTGCATGCGTGCCGGGGCTGACAGGTGAGGTTTGATCTCAAAGATTTCTCTTTCTCATAAGCTCCACCCCCCAAAGCAAAGAGCTCTCCTATCGAAATGCTGATTTGTCTGTGTGGGGTTTCAGTGAGGCCAGTTCTGGACAAGCCACTGTGTCCCCCTAATGAAAACAGAAATGAAGTCAACCTTCTAATGGGAAAGTGAGAAGCAAAATTTTACAGTTTTACAAAATGATCTAAGGCAAAAAAGAAATTGAAATAGAAAGTGAAGAGTCTCCAGGTTTCTGTATAGATAACTTTGTAATTATTTTTTTAAAGATTTTATTCACCGTATTTTTTGGACCATAAGATGCACCTAGGTTTTAGAGGAGGAAAATAGGGAAAAAATTTGAAGCAAAAAATGCGGTAAAATATTTAAGAACATAAATAACATAATATTTCACCAATGTAAATGTAAACAGAATTCAACAGCAGCATTAACAACCACAATTCCTCCCAAATTTGTGGGGGGAATGGTGCATTTTATAATCTGAAAAATACGGTATTTATTTTTAGACAGAGGGGAAGGGAGGGAGAAAGAAAGGGAGAGAAACATCAACGTGTGGTTGCCTCTCACGCACCCCTACTGGGGACCTGACCCACAACCCAGGCATGTGCCCTGACTGGGAATCGAACCAGTGACCCTTTGGTTCGCAGGCTGGTACTCAATTCATCGAGCCACACCAGACAGGGTGATACTTTATAATTATCTGTAATCTGAACATCAAGACTTGTCCCCAGCCTCTCTGTTTGCTTCTTATTCTTACTTTCATTTATCT